ATCAAAAAAGTACTCCAGAGTGTTGTTCAGCATGGGGGTGAGTAGAAAATGAAGGCTAATCATGTTTTGGGTGTACTTTTCCTTTAAGCAGGCGGCTGTCAGTACCCCATTGCCAGAGTGTCAGCCTTAAATGTTAGGAGTCAATAGGCCTGCGCTTTTCTATGTCTGAGAAAAACGTTAGCCGAGCACTGAAATATTCAAATGCATTTATATTATTTAATTAGCATGCGTCTGATCTTATCACTTTATCACAATGGGCATCGTCGTATCTTGTGAACACACAATTATTTGTGGAGAGCCCATGAAGGGCGATGGAGGGGCTATGCACAAACAGGTTGCAGGCACGAAGCTATGCATGAAATGCAGGTTGAAGCAGAATATTCTGGAATTTAAATAGACCACTCATTGTTATTACATATTCTGCAGAGTGTGTGAAAACTCACACCTGAAGGAGCAGCCCAACTTGAAATGAATGCTTAAACTAGCTCGCAGAGAAAGCCATTGTTGACTGGCAACCCTAAGATGAATTTTGTAGTTTTCCAAGAGTGAAGTCAATCCACTTAAGTTCAAGGTCTAGTGGAGGATCTTCACAAATTTTGAAAAAGACCTGGCCTCTCTACTTAAAAAAGCACAACCCTGTACCCACATCTGAGAGGGAACACCTATTCAGTGTGTGCGAGACCATGCACAAGCCTATTTTCTCCTCATTGCTTTTTGCATCCCTCAGACAAGCTTACTTTACAAAAGAAGATTTTCCATTTTTCCACCATGTCAGACTCATCACTGGTAAGCGAAAATGGGGATGAGCATGTAGGACGGCCTTACGTAAACATATCACCAGAATGACTGACAGTTAGGAGGACCACTAACTTTGAAGATCCACCCGGAAAAAGAAAATTCTGCAGTACACCTTTAAATGTGATGTGACCTTTAATTTATTTTGTAAAGGATTTAACATAAACGTTTTTTTTTTCATGGTGAAATTCTATGGAGGGAATTTCGTTAGATTATTGTTGCAAGCAAAGGACATTTTTTCTAAATGGAAATTGAAAATAAACGTGAAGGAAAAGTGGAAGTAAAGATGAAAGTAAAATTACAATTACATCTTGTAATATTACGAGAATAAATTCGTAATATTACGAAAATAAAGTCACAACAAGAATAGTCATGAAATTACGAGATTAAAATATAATTCCACAAGAAACAAGTTGTATTTTATGAGAACTCTTACAACAAGCACTTTTTTCCCCTAAAATGAGGAGTGTAGAGACTTATGTGAAGTTATACTTTGGCTCTGGTTTGACAAATAATGAAATCTTTTAGCACCAGCATCAAATTAGGCAGAATGTCAATGTGGACTCAGGTTGCTGTTTGGTGGAGCAGGGCGGCCATCATCTGTTGATAGGAGCTCAAAGGTTTCTTTCTGAAACGGGTTGTAGTATGATGACATAATTCTTTTAATATTAAAACTTTATTCAGGTAATGTTACGACTTTATTCTCATAATAGAATAAAAAAAAATCTCTAGCCTGGCCCTAATACTCCGTCATATCTTTTTATGATATTTTTTATTTTTGGATTGCACTTTTTTAAAATTTCCATCAGCAAATTGTGCTGTTTGTTCGCAAAAGAAATGGAAGAAAACTTCCTCCATCCACAGAAGGCTGTAGGTCTGCCCTCCTCTGACTCCAGCCTCTCTGGCCTGTATGAGCTCCACTCGCTGGGTTTTCCCCATTCATGAAGCCAACACTGACTCATTCCTGCTGGTGGTCATTCAGCCACCTGCAGGAGCATTTTACAACTCTCATGACTCTCATGTTTCCTCCCATGTTCCTAAAATAACCAGGCTACATCACTGTTACCCCCCCTCCCCCCTGCCCTCCCCTCCATCACCCCTTCCCTAACTCCTCCCCACCACCAGCCACATGGTTCCAGTTATGTACATAAATCAGGCGCCGCCGCCGCTGTGAGGGGCTGTGCAGGCAGACAGGAGGCACACATGCACACCGCACAGCAGCGGCTCGTCGCCGCCACTGCAGCCGGAGAGCAGCGGAGCAGGATCGGAGGCGGAATGGCCTGAACTCAGCTCGACTCGATCGCCTGATGCGGCGATGCTCCTCTGACAGCCGTCCGCTTGTCCGTGCGCGTCCGCCCGTCTGGCCGCGCATTGCTGCAGTGCTGTTTTTTCCAGGTGTTGTGTGCGCGTGAGTACGAGAGAGCGTATATGTGTGCGTGCGCGTGTTGTGCAGCCTGGTGTAATTCTCTTACGGATTGTTCTGAGCCGGGAAACAGGAGTCTGATGTCACATGTGCTTCATCGGAGGAGACGGGGCATCTGCGAGCCGGATTTTGTGGAGGATGCTGCGGCAAGTGATACACAGAGGGCTCAAGGCTTCCTTCTACTGGCTCGGCTTATTCGTTAGCAGGCACCCCGTCTTCTTCCTCACCGTCCCCGCGGTGCTCACCATCATCTTCGGATCCACCGTGCTGAGCCGTTTCAAGCCTGAGCGGGACCTGGAGGTGCTGGTCGCCCCGACTCACAGCCTGGCCAAGATCGAGCGCAGCCTCGCCAACAGTCTGTTCCCCGTCGACCAGTCTAAGCACAAGCTGTACTCGGATCTGCACACGCCGGGCAGATATGGTAGACTGATCCTGCTGGCCAAGTCCGGGGGTAACATCCTGGAGCTGGCCGACCAGGTCCTGCAGGTCCACAAGCAGGTGCTGGAGCTGCGCGTCACCTACAAGGGGTTCAACTACACCTTCGGGCACCTGTGCGTGCTGAGCCACAGGGACAAGCGCTGCCTGCTGGATGATATCATCACCATCTTCCAGGACATCCAGCAGGCTGTGCTCTCCAACAGCACCTTCCACAAGGTGCCCCTCAGCTACCCGAACACCACTTTAAAGGTGAGCTGTTGCTGCATGCCAGCCGGGCTCGTGCACGCCGCCGTGTTGCAGGCTGGCCTCTGAGAGCGCGCCATAATTTCTGAATGAACGGGCATGTGTTGCGTGTGGGGCTTGCAGATTGCTGCATTTATCATCCGGCGAGGGAAGCCTCCGTGTAGTTCAGACCAGCCGGTTATTTTAGCGCTGTGCAGGTGGATTGATTGGCTGCATGTAGCCACGGAGCACCCTGCTCTCCTATGCTCCTCCACTCACACACAGAAACACACACGCACAGGGATATCCTCGGTTACCCCCCCCCCCTCTCCTTTTTTTTTGATGCAGTGTCTCCCTCCTGCTTTTTTCCCTCTGCTGCACATACGCTGTCACAGCAGCTGCTGGGATGTTGCCTGCACACATGCAGATGCATCATTCTAAACAGAGCATGCAAAAACACGCAGGTGCACATTTCAGGCTGAGGAGGCCAACATGATACAGCGGGGATGATCAGATGTTTGCATTTGGCTTTTTTTTTATCCTGAAAATTGCAACATTTGCAACACACCATGCAGTTGATTCAACCTGCTGTGAAAGAGCATATATATGATGCCCATGTAGAATGTTTAGTGTGTTTTTTTATTATACAAAAACAATCTTTGTAGAATAACTTTGTATTTTTTCTTTACTCATATTTTTATTGTGTTTAAACAGACAATGCCATTCAGATTGTAGTGTTTTGTTTCAATTCCTTTGATGACAGTGTGCAATATAAAATGAACTACACAGCATTTCAACAGTTTTATATTTTTATTAACCCCATCCAACCCCATCTTTCCCTGTGCAGGCAAAGAAAAAGAGATTAGATAAATAAAAATTAAAGTCGAGGGAAATCATATTTAAATGTCAAATCATTCTGGCTTGAACATGTATATAAATGTACTCTTAATAGGACAATATTGTCCCAAATTTAGAAAAACTCTATTAAAAAAAAAATATATATATATCCTTTCTTAAAATCTTTTTTTTATCCCCGTCATTTTATGCAGGCCGGTTAGTTATACATCAGTTTGTACACCTTAATATAGCCAATCATGTATCAACGGTCATCTGTCAATAAATTTTTGTGGGTCATAGCATCTGCAAAAGCAATAACATTTTTCTTGCTAAATATCACAGCATCAAAAATAGTCAGTAGAGGACTAGGTTTTAGATGTAGACCAAACGCAACATTCAAAACCCTAAATATTGATTTTCAAAACTCTCCCAGCTTAGAGCACGACAAGAACATATGAGCTAAGTCTGCTTTGGTGGCTCTACAGCGATCACACATCCCATCTATTTCAGGGTATATTTTAGCAGGTCTGACTGTAATATAGTGAGTACAGTGAAGAGTTTTAAATTGAATCAGATTGAGACGTACACAAGAAGTAGTTTGTTTCACAAGGTTAAGAGCTCTAACCCACATCTCTTCTGAAATGACTGTCTCTAAATCTTCTTCCCATTTTGTCTTGATGTTGTCTGTTGATACTCTAGTAAATTACATAATTGAGTTATAAAATGTGAGATTTGGCCCTTTGAAGTTATGGGGGTCTTTAGAGTAACATCCAAGTTTTAATTGTCAGGTAATTGAGGGAACAATAGGTTATATGTTTGAATAAAGTGGCGGATCTGACCAAATCGGGAAAAAAAACTGGATTTAGGAATAGAATGTTTGTTGGCCATATCTGTAAATGTAAGAAAAGTATTATCTATATATATATATATAAAAAAAAAAAACCTGCACGTGGTAAGACCCCTAACTTAGAATTTTTGACAGATAAAAAATCCCTCTGACTTTGTCTTGCCAGAAGAAAGTTACTTTTACATTTTGCACAGAATAAAGGTTTTGTGGAGGTTTTTGTGGATCTTGATGTTTGGTTTGAAAGAATCTCTGGTCTGCATAGAAAAAGAAGAAACAACTTTATTGTTTTACAGTAGGTACATTTAGATGTGACAGTGGCTCAAAATGATTAGTCGGAAGTCTTAAATACTTAAAAGGTAGACTTAATCATTTGGAAAGATCAAAATTCAAGAAAAAAAACATATTCAATTAATAATGAGAATAATTAGAATTGTTCAAACTGAAAATAAGAATAATATATTCCAGGTTTCACCAGTCTATGAAAGCAAAAATACATAACTTTTGACCTGAGTAATGTTACATGCTGATAATTCAATTCATTTCATTTTCTTTATATTTTGCCAATTCACAAGACGTGATCTTAGGGAAAGTTAAGCCGGGCATACATAGGGCGATATTTTCAATAGTTGCACGCAGCTACATTTCAAACTATACCATGAAACAGTAAGGTTTGAAAGTTTACAGCTCATGATGTATATTCTCACACTGTGGGGCCCGACGCTCTGATGCGACCTACCTGCTCACACCGTACATCTAAAAACCACCCTAGGGACTAAACGCCGAGAAGTGGCGCTGGCTGGACTCGTCAATCTGGAAAAAGAAGAAGAAGAACTCTCTTGTTTGCTCATGTACAGTGCTCCAGGTTCTGGTAAATTGGCTCGTAGCTCTACTTCAACAGCAGGATTTGTCCATGAACATCTCACGATGGATGACCGAAATTCAAACAAGTTTGATTTTCTCAAAGCCACACGATTCTTGATCAGGAGGTGGTTGTGAGAGGCCAATCCCCCCCGTTACCCCCTGTACACTACACGATGCAGGACGTAGATGAGGCTGAAACTCAGCCCGATTGAAAAAAATCATGCACAACTGGAAAATCGTCCTGAAAAGGGCAAAAATCGTACAGTGTATGCCGGGCTTTACCGCGACAATTCATTTAGATCATCCAATCACATTGGATAAAAGTTTACTATTCAAGGAAAACCAGCTGTGTGCATCCAGTCATTGACTTTTAAGCATTTGACTCTTAGCAGGTGGTGACAGTATCTGCTTGGATTGTGTGTCACTGACTTTGCAGCAATCCCTTGCACCAATTATGCATGCAGTGATAATGGAGATGAAAAACTCCCTTTCCACAGGAAGAAAACTTCAACAGAACCAAAAGTAGGCACATTATGAAAGGCAGCGTTATTCTACAGGGATGTAGGGCTTGATCACTCAGTCGGCTGAAGCCTGTAGCAGCAGACTTCATACGACAATGCAGAGACAATTCTGGAGTACTTCATTTAAGCTATATCTTGATAAACAGAACAGATGTTTAAGCTTTGCATGGCTATATTCTTATCATGTAATCATAAATAAAATCTTAAAGCTGAAATAAACTTACTAGACTCTAGGCTTCAGTGTAGTAAGTTTGCATTTCATAAAAGTTTAATGAATTTCTCAAAGTTGTTTTTCTTAAATCCTTGCTGAGAGCTAAAACCACATTAATTTGTTTAACTTCAAAACAGCGATCAAAATTCCTTCTCTAAATGTTTTGCATCTTTCAAGACCTTGTTCTGTTTCATCTCTATTTTACTAACCCTTTATTTCACTAAATAAGAACCTTTTTTATTTGGCCAGTCAAAACAGAAAATTGGAGCATTTTGTCTGTTGTAAAATTATGTTTTTTAAAATATAACAAAGTTCTTCATCCTGAATCTTTCTGCCTTAATCGAACTCTCATGGTTCTGTCCTGTCATTAGTTTTACTAGTACCTTATGTAAAACTTTATTGAGCAACACTTTTTTCTGTCTAATTCAGAAGTGGACTGTAGGACCGGTCAAGTTTTGAGAGACCTTTTAATGTATTCATCCACCTCTGGAAGAAATGTTAATTTAAGATAAGGCTTAGGTGAAAGTCCATCATGAGCCCCCCAATGATGCTCATAAGAAAACCTTCTCCTAATGTCTTACTGAAGGGATAAGTGATTAGTTGTTACATATGATTAGCCAGCTCTTAGTCTGCATTCAGGTTTCACCACTATCTACAGCTTTGGTTTAGTCATCCTGCTTCCACCTGTTACTGCAAGCACCAGGTACCGTGCCTCCCCTCTCCTGTTTCCTTTGCTATGAGGTTTGTCCCCTAATGTACCCCTGATCGAGGCAATCAGTGAAACTTTCTGGATAACGAGGCCCCAAACATACCAGCTGCTCTGAGCTTCTTCAGTCCATGCATCTGTCTGTGCGTGTACAGTAGTCTTGTTTTTTTTTTAAACTTTGGCTCATTTTTCTTTTTTTCTGCTTTTATTGTCATTACACTGTCATCACTGCAGAGCAACAAAATTAAATCTCTGCATTTAAACCATCCTTTGGGGAGGATTGTGCCATTGTGTGGAGCCCGGGGAGCTATGTGGGATTAAGGGTCTTTGTTCAGGAAGCCAGAGTGGCAGTGGGAGTGGGGTTTGAACACAGAACCTCTGGAATTTCCTTGTTCACTTTACTGCATCTTTATAACAGATATGCATACCTCTAAATATCATACTACTGGGGCAGGGAGCTAAGGATGGATAGCATTCACACTACTTGGGCTGATACAGAACCTATGCCCAGTCCTGGGTATCTGTGTGGTAACTAATCAGTACCTTTTTCTGGTAACACGTCATCCAAAACGCCAGGCTTACCTGCAGCAGAGGAAGATGATGCTGCCTCTTGCTGCAGAAGATGAGCCGCTAGGGGATGCTAAAGGTGCTGTTGCCCTGGATCTGAGGCTTTTTAAAATTGTGCAGTCTTCAGCCTTGAAAAAAAACCTCTCTTTCAACCAGATGGTTCCATTGATTTGATTTGAAAAGTGGAGCTCTCCTCTCGATTACTTCCTATCAGCCATGCTTGCTGTGTTAACAATAGCACTACATTCTTGTGCCTTTAATGCTGCATTTAAGTGTGACATAGAAAATCAATCACCCTCTTCCACTTACCTTTTTCTCAATGATGTTTTTTAGGTACTGAAAGATGCTGTCATTTAATTTTACATGAATTTGTACTTGGTAGTACCAGAATTTGATTGGGACCAGTAAAAGTACCAAATTCAGAATCCATCCATATACAGGTGCTGGTCATAAAATTAGAATATCATGAAAAAGTAG